TGTGGCTCCCTCCAAGTGAGTGGATTTTTGGAGGTCTAGTGCATGGTGTCTAAAAGAATTGGAATAGATACTTTTTGGCTTGCTTGTCATTGAGAGATCCTCAGCAGACACCAACAGCGTTTTTCTGTGCCATACCCAGGTCTAAAAACAGAAAGACGAGGACGCAGGAAATCTGTATCTCTTTCAGTTTTTGCTTGATTTACTTTGCTGCATTATTCTTTTTATGCTTTCCCCAAAATAAAATACTATTTCTTCCAACAGGAGAAGTCTGGTTGTAAGGTTGTAAATGACAATCTTTTATCCTAGTAATTTAATTTAAAGCTTAGCTATTGGCCAAACACATTCCATAGGGTTCTACTATGTGATGCACAACTAACCCTTTCTTCATTATAGAGGGCTAGGTACAGACATTCAAAAAGCCTGAGGTGGAATTGACCCAAGTTGCGTGGTTTCCTGTAAGTGGTGTAGTTTAGATCAGTAGCAAACAACACAAATTCATTCTTGTCTGCGGGAGAGGGAGCAAATCTTAGACTGGGTTTTGCCATTTTTAACCAGTGCACCAAACTTCTGTTCTATTAACAGGTATAGACTGGTTTTGTGTGCTGAACTTCTGTTCTGTTATGGGTATAGACCAGTTTCTGATAACTTATAACGGTAAAAGTTATAGGCTGAGAAGTGTTCTAAAGAGGCTAGAGGTTTCAACATTCAGTAGTAATGCTGCTACAACTGATGAATGGATGGTGGTATATCTATTTTTATTTCTCTAATATATAACTAATAGTGGTTACAAATTAAGATGAAGAATCTTATATAAATGTTCAGTTGCATAGATAGCATAGGCGGTCGCCAAAGGAAATTAATTTTCATGGAAAATTTCAAATAATTTTAAGCTTTTCCACCCACCCAAATTTCCATAGTTTTTCTTTCTTTGTCAAACTGGAAAAAAGTTTTGTTTTTTTAAAAAAAAAAACACTTAAGAAAAAACGTCAGTTTTGAAAAACAATCACAGAATCATAGAAGTAGGGTCGGAAGGGACCTTGTAGATCTTCAAGTCTGACCCCCCCCGCCTGGGCGGGAGAAAAACTGGACTCAAATGAGTCCAGCCAGGTAGGCATCAAGCCTCTTCTCAATGACAAGTTTATGATGGTTTCAATATTTGATTTCTAGTTTTTTATTCCTAAAAATCTGGAAACTATCAACCAAAATTACAGGGTTTAAAAAAAAATAATTTTATTTCAGAAGCTATATGTTGTTGAAATAAATGGTTTGATAAAGAAGGTAGATCAGCTCCAATAGGATGGTGTTAACAATACAGCAGCTGAAAAGACCTTGGGCTCCTTACACATCTTTTGATGCAACCTTCAGTTGTGGTCAGTGCTGGAGAATGAGACTAGGATTCTTACTTTTAAATCTGGGAGTTGCTGGGAAATCTCACTTCAGGCTGAAATTATGAAAAAAAAAGAGTGCTTTTCAGCAGGCTTGGAAATAATGATAAATGCCAAGACATCAAAACAACTGAAGAAAATATTCAAGTTATACCAGTATGCAGCAGCATGCCTTCAATTTGTCTGTAGCCAAATGCTTTTTCTATTTAATAATCCTGTCTTCCAGGGTCTAGAGTGGTGGTTCATTGTATGTAATGTGTTGCTGTCGTGCCATTGGGCATTAAAAAAAGAGATTGAAATTATCTTGAGGAAACCAAATCGTTTTATTTCAAAGACAAATTAGATTGATGTATCTTACCATCCTCTATAGATTTCTTCATAAGCGCATTACTAGTTGAAGAGGTACCAGACATTTTATATATTATAGCAATTTGCATACGTTCATTAAGCTGTACTTTGTAAGGCATACTGACAGGGGCATTTGATGAATTTTTTTTGTGCACTGTATTGTGTCTTTACACAGAGCAGTCTGTTAAATTATGCCTTTGTCCTTTAGTCTGTCAGTTTGTCAGTACTGGAAAATGAAGATGTAAGTAACTTTGGTAGGGTTTTTTTTTTTGGTATTTAAATGTAGGATAACTTTGGAAGGCATACTTTTTTTCTAAGATGCAACCCATGATGATAAAGAAAGAAGAATAGTACACACAAATACGATTTCTGATTGGTTTCACATCTATATGTGCTTTTCAGAATGTCCACTTCTAAAATGAATGCTACTTGGATGCAGGGTTTTAGAAATGAAATGGCAGTGACAAGAGTGCAGGTCTGTTCCGGTTAAACAATGGTGTGAGCAGGTAGTTTCCTGTGTCACTTTTGCAGGCAAGTATTTAAAAGCAGCACCACAGTGCAGTGTGATAGCTGATTTGCCGGGCAGATACAGTGGCACTTTCTTAAGCCATACCTGTGAACCACATTTCCCCTGCTAGATCCTTTCCCTCTACTAGACCCTTCACACAGCATATTGTGTGTGATATCCCAGACCTTTCCTGTGCATTTTGGGTAGTAAGTTACTGCACTGCTGAAATAGTTGAATGATGACTACAACTACATTATTTTAATGAAGCTTTAGGTTAACACCCCTTTTAGACGAATCAGAGTAGTTCATGTATCAGACATTTTTGTTTCAGACTGCCTGCCAGCTCAGTCAGTGGCATCTGACATTGTGATGGCATTTGATACTTCATTCCTATTTTGAATGGTGTTGTTAGAAGAAAAAGGTTGTTCCCCTTGTTCCTCCACTTACTATTTGGGTCCCAGAAATATCAGCAGAAGGAGGTTTTTTGTCAGACCTATGCCAGTTCCCACAAATTTTGAAAGATTTTGCTGCTAACAAATCCTTGTCCACACTGGGGGTTTTGCCAGCAGACCCGTGTTGGATATAGGGTGGGATCTTTTCACATCCTTATCGGTCAGATCTGCTGGCAGAACTTTGTGATGTAGACAAGCCTATGGAATCCAAATGACAACTTGTAGGAAAAGCACTGCCTCACCAGGCCAACCAAGTTCAACCTGTATGTGATGATGTTAATGTGGGATAAACACTGCAACAGGTAACTGGGACTGGAGGCAGAAGATATTGGCAGAAAAAAGGGTAAGAGATGAGACAGAAACACAAGAGGGGAAAGGGTAGATTAGAGAGTTTACATCATCTGAAGAAAAGAACATCACAAGGCTAAGTGATGGACCAGGACGAAAGTAAAGAAAAAGAAATGGAGATAGTGGTAGGGTTTACACAACAATTCTTTGTATTGTTCCTGATGGTATAACTTACTAAGTAGCTCCATTGCTTTTACAGATGTTTGGCTGATTTTCATTTTAGCTTTAATGGGATTCTCTGTGTGATTCCCGTGTGTCTCTTCTTGGAGGCACTGACACTTTTGGGGATCAAACGGTATGCAGAGAGAGAGCCCTGTTGTTCATACACCTTTAGTATGGATTCCAAACTTTTCAAGTCATGCATTTGACAGAAACAATAGGGGCCATAAATGAGCATATGGAGTAAACAGTCTTGGAAACTGTCATATTGATAAAGATTTCCTGGAATATATGGAACATAGAGTCATGTGGGATTTTTGGGGTTTTTTGTTTTTAAATATAAAATAGTAACTTCAAGTCAATGTGCTGTATCTTTGATAAAAAGAATTGGTAAAATCCTCACAAATTCTTGATTTGAAATTTTTCTTCTGGTTCTGATTCTCAAAAACACCCTGAACTTTATGCCTGTTTGTTTCTGCAGGAATGATAACAAGGGAAATAAATTTAAAATATCAGCTCTGTTAATTATCTTCGGGCTTTAGAATAAGCAGCACATTAGGAGGAATGGAAGCACTATATTTCTCTAACTGCACATTCACACTAAGAAATACCTGTTTTTCATCAAAAGGGCAGTTACATGACCAAGAGTATGAATGGCTGGTGGGCATAGGTTTCCTGACTACTGGATCATCTAATCTTGTTGGGGTGCCTTCACTCCATCTACATGAGAGTTCATACTAGTGGCAGCAAGGGTGTAGTTTGCAGGTGAAATCTGGGCAAGAAACTAGCATAGACTCAATTGTAAGGCTATTATTGTCTAACATCATTTTCTGCATAATTCATAGATGGTGATGGGATAGGTGTCTAAGAAATATTCAAAGAAAATTGGTAGACAGAAACTGATGGGGATATCAGCGAAGTGGTGGTACAGAAACAAGGCTGAGGCATAGCCAGACACTTAAACTGTTACCAGTTTTTTCTGTTTTTTCTTTCTTTCCCTGGTCTGTTGATTTTTTTGTTTGTTTATTTCATTTTCTTTTTGTGCTACATCTTTCTGAGTTAACTGTCTCCCCCCACCCCTGTGCTTTCTTTACCACATTAGATTTATCAAAAAGATTATTCCATCTATGTATCACTGTGTCAGAATCACTAGGAGAATTTATAGAGGCTCTAGGGAATACTTGTAGCTAGGTGCTATGCATGTGCCTGCAAAATTGTATGCAGCCAACATTTAGAATCTGTCATAGAATTGCCCTTTTTAGCATTTCATGAGACTAAAATGACAAAATATAATGATGATCCTCATTTGTACATGGTTCTTTTATTTGTGCCCTTATTCTACTGCAAATACAAGGTTGTTTAAGGCTCAAATATGTGTATATATAGCAGTGTGTGTGGTTTAATAACAGATTTTCCCCCCGGTATGTCACTAACAGTTTTGCATATTGAATGTAAGGTTTTTGCTTTGTTTTGTTGTTGTTCTGTCATTATGGATGGTTGTTACAAAATTAGTAGTCTGAAACATGTTTCCAGAAGCTATCTTGTGCTACTTTTGAGTTTTGTGTCCAAATTTACTTTAAAGATGCATATAGTTTTTCTGATATTCAGCAAATTATCAAATAGTGCATCATTCTTATCATGCATAAAATATATTGCACTTGGCATGATGGTAAATGACTGGTATATTTGAAACTTATTTCCAAATGGTAACTTTGTACATTGAGTTTACTTTTTCTTTTATGTGCTTAAACCACTTACTTTTAGCAAGATATTTTTAATATATTCGATTTACCTTTTCAGCTCTTGGACATTGAACTTGAAGCTTGATTGTATGCTCCAACAAACTTGGAGAAGATCTACAATACAAAGGTACCATATAGGATAAATTTATATGTTGTGTTAAATGATTTGGAGAGTAATATATGCTTTAATGTCAGTTTAATGTTGCATTTCTTAAATCTCCTGATAAATCTGTTGTCATGAACAAGGTAAAAAGTTAGTTCTTGCTGGGATGAATGTTCATTAATGTATGTGTCATTTGTATGGCAAAACTTAGAAATGCATAATAAAAATTTGTTGTTTAGAGAGAGATGCATACTAAATGTGCAAGTTTTTTTTCAAATCAAGTGCAAATGTGTTTGTGCATGTCGTGTTATGGAATTTGGGAAGCCAAAAAAAGATGGAGAATCAGTAAGGCTAAGATACGGCTCTCCATTTGAGTCCTGCTTTTCCAAACACTTTGTCATATACGTAACTTTGCTGCTGTGCTTATTGTCACTGACTTCAGTTGTGACTACTCATAGTAGTAAAGTTAAGTATGTAAAAAAATATTTTGCAGGGTCAGGCCCCCAGTAGACAAAATCTAGCTGTCTTTTAAAGTTTATGTTAAAATTGGATGCTGTTGAGGCTGGGATGTCACCTGAGACATTATGTGGGTGTACATGTGTTAAAGAATAAAGTCACATGTATAGGTAAATAGTTATCAGCTCATTGGGAGTCACTCAAATTAGGTCTTAACAGCTGTGGCACTTGAAAATGCTGCTGAACTACTGCTGATGGAGAGAAAGAAATTAAGAGATTCTCAAAAGAAGTTATTGATCTAGGCAATCTTTCCATTTTAGATCTAAAGAGAAGCAGGTTTTTTGAATGGATGGATTTGACAAACAAACTTTTATTTGATCTGTACAGGGAGCTTAAAGGAGATTTTGAATGGCAAAGAATGAATTGTTCTTATGAAATAAAAATGAGGACTAGCTCTTGATGTAGTGGTACCCCTGATGAAGGACAGAATTTGACATTAACCTGGCTGTTCCCTAATGAAAATACAATATATTTATATAGCTGTATTTTTATCTGGAGATCCCAGAGTATTTGAAAAAATTGGAGAAGGGCTGTTATTTCCTTATGGGTGAAGATGCTGAGAGAGAGAGAGGACATGTGCATCGTTAGTGCAAAAGAGCCAGACCCTGTGATAGACCCTCTTCTGCACCACCACAGTTCTAGCAGAGCAGGGCCTCGTAGAGCAAACAGTAGCAACTCATGCAAATGACTTGGGAGGGCAAGTTTTTCTGATCTTGTCTCCCTCACATTTCAGGGATTTCCTTCTTTATTTCTCTCCTTTAGCTTTATTCTGCTCTTCCTTTAGTGCTTTTGTTCTCTAATTTGTTCTTCCTTCTTTCTTTCTTTTTTTGCCTTTCATTTTTGCCTTTTTTACATCTTTGGGTTTTTCCCTTCCCTTTTCAATTTGTTTAGAGTCTCTGTGGGATTGGCAGCAGTAGCATTGTCTTATATGTGGAAGGAGTATAGTCTTTAAAAGGAAGCTTAGTAGAATTAGATTCCCCTTTTTATCACCAATTCAGAGCCTGTGTTAAAAGGAAATGTGTTAGCCATCCTGTAAGTTTTACTTTTGTGGCTACCTCCCATGTTTGTTCCCTGTATTTTTAAGACCTATGAGCATCTGCCTTGTAATTAATACCTACACCCAGTTGAAGAATAAGCCTAAACCTTGTTCTTAAACTGGACTCAAACTTTTATTTAATGATAGTCTCAATCTGTTTGTGACCTAAACTTGTTCTCTTTGGAGGAACGTAAGAGCATTTTTACATGTGTTCCCTATGCAGTGCCAGGTGCTTTTAATTAGCGAGCCAGGCTAACGAAAAGTGTCTGCACGTCACATGTATCAGTGGCGCAGCACACCTGCGCACTTAGAAAATGGTGGCGGTATGGTTTTAACTAAAGCACATTGAACATGTTTCAATTCAAAGCTCACTGCCGCCATTTTCTCAGCATGAAGGTGCGCTGCACCGCTGATGCGCATGACACATGAGGCTGCCAGGGCGCATCAGTTTATATGCTCCAGCAGACTCGATTAACCCAGTCTGCTCTGATGTGCTGGATTTCCAGTGCACCAGAGCAGGCTCCCTGCATGTGTTTCAGTGCCTTAAATGCCCTTCAATTGCATCAATATTGAACCATATGTCTGTGCATATCCAAGTAGAGATTGGGTTAATAGGACTGCTGCTTTCTGGCTGGTGTTCTTTTCTGCATCATGTCTGGTGCTCAGATGTTAGCAGAATTCCTGGGAGCTCCAAGCTGAAAGGTCCTGCTGTTTCCGAAACAGGCTGCCATTGCCTACAGTCCTGGTCGGGAGTGAAATGGTTCTTCTGCTCCTTTCTCCACTCACAATTCCTCTTTCCATGGGGATATAAGTTACTCTGTTTTCCTGAAGCACTGTCCAACTTAATTCAGTTCCTGAGACTTAATCTCTTTACAAAGATATAGTTCCCTGGGCAGAAAGGCAGAAGTAGAGTATGATTTTTTTTTATGGCACAGTTCACTTTCTACTGGTCCTAGGAACTAGTGACCACATGCATCAAACCATGCAGGCACCACCCAATGGTTCTCCATAGACAGATGGCTCATAAACCTGCAAGCGTTTAAACTGTAGTATATGGAGTGCCAAACACTGATGACGTAACCAAATTCTTTGGTTCCTGTCACTTTGCCCAGGATTCCAGGAAGGAATGATTTACATATGTGCACAATTTTGGATAGTCTTTCAGGCAGGTCATTGAGCGTAATGTATTTGTAAATGTAACCTCAAATGGATACATGGTTCTGAGTATGTTTTTATGAATAGTGGTTATGTAAAAGTGCATTCCCATTTGACTGGTTATTTGCCTGAAATGTTTTGCAAATGTTTGGAAGCACTGTAATATGAGTTGGTAAGAAAGATGAAAGAAAAGCACAAATGGAATAGGTCAGGTTGACCTTAGTTTAGGTCACTGTGATCTTGGGTGGAGTCTGAGGGGGAAAGACTCTAGTAAGGATTCATATTATGGTAGTGGAGATTGGGTGGCCCCTTAAGGTGGTGGAAAGTCATGGGGAGCCAGTGCAGGTCTAAATTGGCAGTTTTGCCCCTTTGAAAAGGGACTCAGGTTAACCTTGTAGGCATCTCCACCAAGGGGCTGCAGTGCCTTAAAAAAAATGAAGTAGGTTTTTTGCCATAGGTGGTTGATCCAAACTGATAAGGGTAATCACTTAGCATGGCCATCATAGAGGACAGTCTGGTTGTCCCCTGTCCTCTATTGGTACAAAACTGGATGCCTTTATTTCCTCTATTTTTTTCTTGAAGAGAAAAATAGAGGACATAAAGGTGTCAGGTTTTGTATCAATAGAGGACAGTCTAGCAGAAAACTGGAATGTCCTGTATGATGGACGCCCTATAATTACCTATGCTTCTGCAGTAGAGAGAGCGTGAGGTACCTTCAGAGGGTGATTCTGGGAGCTCAGATACTGAGCTGGGAGGTGCCTAAAGTTAGTCAATAAGAAGTGGTAGGCACAAAGCTGTGTCTGAATCCTTGCCTTTCTTAAGGGGTTAGGCTGCTTTCTAAAACATTAGGTGCTTTTTTCATCTTAGATTCAGGGTGCTCAGAGTAGAGGCATCTAATTGACCAGTAGTGATAATGGTGCCCACCTTTTGCGTAATAGACTAGCAATGTGAGCATTTGCCTGTGAAGGGGGCTCTCTTTTAGGTCCTCTTCCTATTGAGGGGATTCAAGTTTTTTTCTCCCTTCTCTCAGGAGAGTGCACTCCTGCTACCAGGACTATTTCTGGATGTTTATGTTAGGCAGTCACTAGTTAAAAAGCAAAAATAATCCTGGCAAGAAGGACTAGAACCCAAGTTTCCTCCTTTCCATTGACGTGTTCATATTACTGGGCACATGGTGTCATTTTATCCTTCTAGATGTCTGGAAAGTGCTCTAACCAGTAAGGTATTGTGCAAAAGGTGGATGTTACCCTTCTTACCTTCCAGGGTTCCTAAGTGAGATTGATCGATAGCGAAGCACTTTGTACTGAACTGGGTGATGTCAGGGTAAGTTAGATGTGCTCTGTGGGCATCTGATGGGTCAGGGTAGATTTTAGGCTTTCTCCAACTGGGCTTAGCCAAGATTTTAGATGCCTTCCTACTTGAACTGGATTGCTTCTGATCATATTTAGAAGACTTGAGACCTGTGGGTGCCTGTAGACATGCAGGGAGGCTGCTCTAACGTGCTGTAATTACAGTACATCAGAATAGCATGCTAATTAGAGTGCTCCAGCAGTTTCCACATCTCATGTGGCAGCAGCCCTGTGCTTCAAAATAGTGGTGGGGGAATTTTAACTAAAGCTTCCTCTCCACTCCTTTCATTGTTCCCCCCCCCATGCATGTGTAAAAATGCTCTGTGAGTCTAGGGATTTTTACAAGCTAAAATGGAGGTGGCAAATTATTTTAGGTGTTAATGAGGGCTTTGCAGCCACTGAAACGGGGTTGATCTGAATTTTTCTTTTTGACTTAGACAACATCATTCCATGTAAGCCCTGCATAGGTGCTTATGGGAATGATTTGGAGTTGGCTCAGCCATTTTAGCTACAAAATGCACAGATTTAGCAGTTTCCCTGAGAGACTCGCATTGGCAGAGTGGCAGACCTTGGTGTTAATTGAATATTGGGTAACATTATCTTCCTTCCATTCAGCAGGATGAGCTCCATACATCTTTATATCTTTCATCTTCAAGGACAAATTGGTGGAACTTGGATTGTTGTTTTTAAAAGCTAATCAGGAAAATAAATCCTGATTTCCAGGACTTCTTGTTTATCTAAAAAAAAAAAAATAGAGAGAAATCTTGTTTGTTCATAAATGTTATTGAAGAAAGGAGTGTGCTTGGCTTTTTGTACAGTTGGAATGTTAGATTGCAAAAATTATATATATAACCAAGCTATTTTGAAGGAGATGGAGTAAAATCCATCTTCCATCTGTGGAAGTTTGTGTAAAACAAAGAAAAGCTTAGTTGGCTTTTATTAACCTTGGAGAAATAACTGGCATGTCT